CTCGCTAATCTCCAATATCATTTTAGAAGGGAGAAAAACACTCATGAATTAAGCAATTCACTGTTGGAAAGCAAATCAACATTCATGAACACTCTTACTGTTATAAATTCAAGTAACTGATATCCATAAAAAAGAGAATGAAAGAAGAGATATTTTCTAGTGTTTCTAAGCAAAACAAAAGCAAAATAGATGATTGGAAATTTAAGTTTGAATTTACAAACTGTGGAATTTACAGACACTAAATATTTCACATTTTTATAGTTTACAGCTGTGTTTAAATAAATCTATCTAATTATATTGAAGGCTGCCTTGTAATCATAGGCTAATCCCATCTGCATGCCTAGAAAGTGATAACAATGAGCTCCACTGGGCTATAAAAATTAACAAATGGAGAGGGTTTTGCATTTATCCCAAGTTTCTTTCTTTCTTTATTTATTTATTTCTCCCCCACCCCCCACCCCAAATGTGATTGGCTTTCTGCTTCAAAAGAATCATGTTTATGACCTTAAACCAAAAGTAAGAAAGACAGATAAGTCAATTCTTGACACTTTCCCACAAAGACCAGACCATCTGGACACTTTGTATTTATAACAGGTGCTTCTGGGACTCAGAGCCTAATTCTGGCCCAGATTCTGTTCTGTGTGGGTGACTCGGTCGCTGTGTGCAATTGCGCATTGCATTAATTGAAGGGACTCAGAAAGGCCAAGTACAGTAATTAGTCAGTTGGTCATGCAGAAAAGAGACTAGTGGCTTAGTGCCACTGAATGTTGAATGCACAGATGTACAGTACCATCTACTTTTGCTCTCTGTGGTACTCTGTTAATCTTTGGCAGGTAGAGCCAAGATCTGTCTTAGTCCAGGCTTTCAGTCTCCTGGAAGCAACAACATAAATTGTATAGCCACTTGGGAGAGAAAATGGTGAGTTTGATTGACCTAAAAAAGAAGCCACATCAGCATAAAATTGTCAGAGCAGTAAAAGTACCAGATGTGCCAAATATGCTAGTTAGATTTTCAGATTCTAATATGAGTTTTTAGATTTATCTAACAGCAACTGGCATATGTAATAGAAGCTATGAAATGTATATGATTCCAATTTTAGAAGCTTACTTTTTTGAAATATGCTGTTTTACTCTGCACATACTAAACTTTTTTGTATGCGTCACTGTTTTGAGGAAATGTTTAGCGATTGTTCAACAGAATTGTTAGATAACATTACTTGAAAAGTTAAGAATATACCTGCTCTGTTACTTGTTTCTTCTGAACAGTACAGCTAAGTGTAGGTAGTGGGGATATTCTAAAGTGATATAAGTGAAACTTGCACCTGCTTGCACCTGTTCTTTATCTGACTTACAGCAGAGACTTGAATCTTTCTTCTACATCTCTGGTGAATGTCATGCCTGCTGTTGTGCTATTTGTCCATTCAGAGTGGGTTTCCTTCAAATTCACTGGATAATTTCAATTCATTGTAATGTAGAATTCCTAGACTGCACATTTATTTTGAAAAACAGCACTTTTGGTTTCCTGTTAGAACAACCATTTTGTTCTCTGAGTATTGGTAAATTGAAATCTTGGTTTGCTTAGGCTAATATTTTCACAGTTGTACTAGGTTTACATACATCCTCCACCTGAAGTCAGCATCTATACCTTCAGCTTCAATGAGCTGATGTACTCTTATTGTTGTCACTCAGGGGGTTCATTAAAGGGTTACTCACAGTGGTAAAATGAAGTGTGTGCAAGCTTATAAATATAGTAGTTTTGTGGGCTTTTTAGTTGTTATTTGTTCGAACTATCTTAGAATCCTTTTATATTTCATTTCTTGCGATAAGCAAACGACATTAAGATCATAGAGCTACCATGCAGCATATTTAAGCAAAATTTTCTTTGATTAAAAAAAAGAATAATACTGCAACCTAACCAATAGTTTTATATTTTCCAATAAATTTTGCTAACTCTTTTTATGTCTAACGTTTTGACTATAATCATTGTGTTCCATTCATTGTGTTCCATTGTGTTCCAGTGATTGACTGGGTTCATAGAATTCTCTTTTCTCCAAGGTCAGACTACCCTTTTTCTTCCTATTCAGGGTCCTGAGAAATCGAGAGTGAAGGACTCAGGAGAGATCCTGAAGATTGCCTTATTCTTTGTCACTGCTTCAAACAGACAACTTTTTCCTATTATCTATGCTCCTAAATTGTGAGAGGAATTGGTTTACATGTCAAAATAGGCAGTGTTACTTAAAGCTTTACATTTTAACACGAAAACACCTACAACTGTTTTTTGTTTGGTACTGACTTACCCTATTTTTATTTAATCGCTATGACATTTTTAATGGAAGAGAAAATTGTCTAGGCTATAATGTTCAGACTTATGTTATGGAAAACTGTAGAAGAAATCAGTTTAAAACTATTCTTGAGGAGTTAAAATGTGGAAAAGAAGTGGGAAATAGGCATGAACCGAAGATACTGATCTTGCCTGATACTGCTCAGCATTACTCATCTGCTCTGCCTATTTAATTTGTGTGAGCAGGCAGGGAAATCAAATATCCTGGAGAAAAGGATTCAGAGGGCTGATCATCCTGCAGAATTTCAGTGGGAGTTGTGTATATACATCTCCTGGGATTACTGAGCATCTTATGTGGCATATTTTAGTTCTCTACCTAATTAACATAAAGAATGGAGCTGAGAGACAGCACAAAGAGATGATGTGATGTGTGCAGTGATTTAAACAAAACTGCCAAATATCATTTTAAGCTCACTGGACCTGAAAGTGCCTCCTCCACCTCTCTTTTTAATATCCTGAGCACATAGTGTGTTATTGAAAAATGTATCAGCTACTTCAATTGGACAACAAATATTGGAAAATGGCTTATCCTTTAGTTGCAATAAAGTATTTCTCTGTCCCTAAAGATTCAAAAGAAATGGACAAGATTCTACGGTAATCTAAAATGAGCATGGTTCTTAAGTAATTCATCAATTATTTAAGCAAAGCAAAAATGGTTGTTATGGAATGAACAGATTTTGGTTGACTCGGAAGGTTGTTTGTGGGGCAATGAAGAAGTAGCCTACCAACATGCTCTTTTCTTCTTTAATTCTCACTTTCCATGTACATTTGCTATATTTACTTGCATGTTCATAATTCCAAATACTAACCCTAGCCTAATTATTATAATATAAAGACTATGTATTGTTGTGTATACTGAATTTCTGTAACTTGGGAATAATCCCAGATTAAAGTTAGCTCAAAATTTGTACTGAGATAGCTGGACATAAAAGCTCACCTTCAAGAGTGTGTGTGTGTGTGTGTGTGTGTGTGTGTGTGTGTGTGTGTGTGTGTGTATACATATTTCAGTGGCAGCTATCAATACCCATGGCTCGAGCCATTCAGCTAGCTCCACAAGAATGTTTTAGATCAACGTAGTAAATGAAGGAACATGAAAAATGGTTGAGAAATACAAAGACTGTCTTGCTAGGGAACCCTAACCTCATAAATACCTATGCTTACTTTCAGATGATCACAAAAGTTGTGATTACCAGTGCCACTCATTGTTGTGTCACTGATGTTACACATCTTAAAATGACATCATCAAGGATAACCAACCTCTCCTGATAGCTCTCCAAGGGCATACCAGATGGCAGGCTGATTCAAGGATAATATATATCAGTAAGTATTGTATGTTTTCCTGCATTTATCATAATTTTATTGCTGAATTTATTATAGACACTCCATAGACACAATGTAGCTTCTCTGAACATCAGAAGATTTGTTAATTTTATATATATACACATATATATATATATGTATGTATATGCATTTAGACTTGTAATAAATTACATGATTTAGTAGCTAATTCCTTATTGCTTCCTAACAAATGCCTGTCCTATATCTCAAGTATCCCTGATATTACAATATTGCCTTATGTATAGATGTTAAACTTTTAAAAATTCTATTTAACTTGTTCTTTTACGCCACTCCAAACAATTTGACATTCTCCCAACAGGGTAGGACAAGGCACAAACAAGCAAAAAAAAAAAGTTCATTGTGCTGTATCTCAGTTCCAACAATAGAATTTGAACAGAAAAAAATCACTAAGTCTTAATTAATTCATTTGATGTCTCTTACACTTGAGCAACTTCCACTGCTGCTGCATGCTCAGTGCATAAAATATGATTTAATCCTCTGTCTGTATTGATGTCCACGTAAAGTAGAGAAAGGAAGAGAGAAAATAAAAACAATGTGCATATGTAGCTGTAAAGCAAGGGCATCTCCAATAACTTGGTGCAGTTAAATTAGTATAACACTTCACAGATTTTACAAAATCTGAAAAGTTAATAACTTTGTACATGTAAAAATCCTAGCTTTTGCTGCATAAAAACAACGTATATTAGTTAATTATGAACAATGGTATGATCCATAATTTACTCACAGATGATGATGTGGAGCTGGCTCCTTGAAATAACATTTCATATTCATTTTAATATATAAATCCTTAATTTCTTTGAAATGGTAAATGTTCAAGAATAAGAGCATGGATTTATTTATCTTAACTATGCACATATTTCAGATTTTTAATAGACTAGAAGTAGCACTTCTGTAAATATATTTCAGTTAATGTCAACAAAACGCTACGGGATTTGTGCAACTGTTACAGAGAGCAAGATTTGATCTTATATGAGCAAAATGAACAATTAAAAAATTCTTCCCATGTGCATATGTACCAACAAATGTATTATAATTAAATTAGGTTCATAAAAGTGAATTTACTATATGTACTTCAGTATATGCAGAAATATACAACACTTATCAAATATCAACATTGTTTTACTGCTATTTCGATTTCTTGGCTAGTGCTATATTTTTCATTCTGTGTTTTCTGATATTCTTTTGAGGATGGGCTGACGGAGACTTCACCTCTGTTCTCAATTCAATGATTACTGAATATAACAGGTGGCATCAGTTGTGCATCAGAGCATACCCCCTGACGGGTGCATTTAAATAACAAAATGTTTGACTCAAAGGATGGGCATTTTTTAAACAACAGTAGCAGTTTACCTCTACTGCCCTCTTCTGCCACTGCCTCTCAAGTGACAGAATTTAACCAAGCACTCCGGAAGGAGAATCAGACGCTTCGAGAAGAGAATCAAATCCTTCGGCAGGAGAATAGAGCTTTCCGTGTGGAAAACAAAGCCTATCATCAGGAGAACCAAATTATCCGAGGAGAGAACAAAGCCCTTTGGGAAGAAAATAAAATCTTACAGGAGAAGCACACAAACTCTTCAGAGGAACCAAAGCACCTTGAGAAACAGGAAAAGGCCCTCCGGCAGCAGAATAAAGCCCTCCGAGAAGAGATTAAAGCTCTCAAAGGACAAGAAATAGCATTTGCAATGGAGGAAAAAGCTCTTCAGGAAGAGATTATAGCCCTATGGGAGGAAAACAAGGCCTTCCAGGAGCAGATCAAGGCTCTTCGAAAGGATAATAAGGCCGTTCAGGAAGAGGAGAAAGCCCTCCATGAAGAAAAAAATGCCCTCAGCGAAGAGAAATTTGCCCTCCAAGAGGAGAACAGAGCCCTTCAAGTGGAGAAAAAAGCCCTACAAAGTGAAGGGAAAGCTCTTCAAGAAGAGAATAAAGTGCTCCATGAATGGAATAAGATTCTTCAAGGAGAGGAATAAAGTGAAGTAAGAAAAAAATCAGATGCTTAGGGAGACTTAATAGGAGGAGTAAAGAAATTAAAAGGAAGGGCAGTAGTTTTAATGTTAGCCAAATGTTCTGGAGAGCACTAGAACAGAAGATCCATAAGAACTAATGGAGAGCAAGCAGCCTGATAGGCTTAATGCCAAAGCCTAGGAAGTTTGAATGTGCTGAAATAGGGGTGTTGGTATCTTTGATCCCTGAAGGCTAATAAATTACTGCTGGCAATAAATAATGTATAGCTGCAGATGTCTGCTTTACTGGGAGTTTAACTATCACAGAAAACAAGCTTCTGATTATCGTGTTTCGAAAGTTTAGAAAAAATTGGTCTTTTCTACTATAGACTATTGGATAATACACATTAGGTGGATGTTAATGTTACAAATATTGAGGTCAAATATAAGTGGGACTCTGTCAGAGTCCCACTTTCTATATGTGGCCTTCACTAGCAAAATATCATATTTCTGAAAACAGGGAGTATGAAACACTTCCAGAAAATGATATTGAATAAGTGTACTCTAGCATCCTTTGTCTCAGAGATTTTTTCCTTGAAAGACCTGCTTTTTAGCATGAATTAACATGAAAAAGCCTTCTTTCTCTTCCAGTGTTGCTAAAGAAAGAAGATCAAGGAGCAAGTTTGAACACACTCCTCCTGACCTTTTTCACTGCCAATTTTTGTTGTTTCTACTTTGTACAGCTCCAATAGACTATTTCTAAGGCAATATGTATTCACAGTTCTGGGGTGGCTTAATCCTAGTGTGAATGGTAGCTGTGCCAGCATTGGGCTTCTTTTATCTTATCCATTCCTGTTAATATCATTACCTCTTTGAAAGCATATATGAGCTCCTTAGTCGTCATCCAAGTAACAGGTGTTTTCCCACATCTAACCAGCCTATTTGGTGTTATTAGCCAGTTCATAATCTCCAGGAGTTAATTAATACCTTGGGCACCCATTTCACCTGCCACCCCACAGGCTTCATCCCTTTTTCCATGGCTTGGAGACCCAGATCAAACCATATATCATTCTATCTTTTAAGCATTCCCAAAGTGCTGGTAACTGTAAGACAGCATCCAGAAGTAGCAGAACAACTTCATTAACTTCATGGCTGCTTGACAACGGTTTCCAATTTCTAGACACTGATGTTAGGTTTTTACAGGGTCTTGCCATGATTCCAGTATTTGGCCTCTGTTCAATATCAAGATATGAGTCACCTTTAACAAGAAAACAGTGTAGCGGTAGATACATAAAACTCCCCTTTGCTCCTGTAGAAAGCACTACAGCAGGCCATTGAGAAACATGCATGGCTTGCTCAGTCGCTGTCAGGCACATAGGACTTCACTCAAAGGCTTTCTTCTCTTTCTTTCCTTACTTTACCTCCGTTTTTTCCAAAGGACACTATAGCTACTGTTTCTGTATTTTTTTTTTCTTGCATTCAAGTGCACCTTAGACAGCTACTTAAGTACAACTAACTCCTGGGCCAGCTCCATCACACGTGAGCCAATATTGGCGCCAAGAAACTATTTCAAACTGCCTCCACTGGTCCTGGGGCTTTCTGCAATGTGTGGCAGTGGGGGCTGTTGCACACTACAGAGATTAACCTTAAAGCACTTTCCGCTATTCTCTGAAGGAAGAGGAGGAGGTTTCCTGCTTGATTAGCAAACTAAGTTAGCAATGAATTGAATTAAAGTACACAGAATACCGATTTGTATTGCAGAAGCACAAAGACTAGAAAAGAAAGTTCTCTAGTGGTGGCCCCAAATCCCACAAAGAGGAGATATCACAGGCAGTGGAGCAAGGATAAGTGTACTCAAGGAAATGAATATTTCTTCTGTTTTACCAGGTATTAAAGTCTCAGAGTGGTTTCCTTAAAGGCCAGAAAGACTTAGGAAAGTTGAGCTCAGGAAACTGTTAGAGGACATATAGATTAAAAAAAGCTAATACAACTTGGTAGGCATATTCGCCTGGAGGTAAAAGGGAGAAACATGAAGAATTTTTTCTTGTACAATCATTTTCCCAGTGAGGACTAAAATGTGCTTACTTTTTCCAATCTGGGGATCTTGGATTCAGATCCTCCCCTTGGATCCAGATGCCATGTACATAAGGATGATTCTTGGTATATGTCTGCCATAACAGATCTCGTTTTATGAACGTTGGCAGAGGGCTAGGAAGGGATGAACAGCGGATAGTGGACAGTTCAGTGATTTAATTCCTTCTGAAAAGACGGGCTAAATCACATGATTGCCTGTGTAAAAATGGTATAATTATGCTATTGTTGAATATGACATGAGCTAAAAAAAAATCATATACCTAGAAAAATTTAAGTTGGATGTGACCTCTGGAGGTCATCTGGTTACTCGCTGAAAGCAAGGCCAGCTTTCAAGTTACCTTAGTTAAGAGGACATTAGAATGGTTACATTCCTCAAAGTTACATTAGAATAGGGGAAAGACAACATCTGTCTCTTATTTGCCTAGTTGATTTGTCCAGATTAGTTGATTAGTTGATCTGTCCAGAGCTGAAAAAGTCAGGCACTACCAGTGCAGCATGTAGGTCTGTAGTGATTTATTTTCTATAGCCTCATGTTCCTGCATTTCTTCTTGAAGGATTCTGCCCACAATGGTTTGCATTACTGATTTCCAGTCCTGCATCAGACCAAGTTTGCCCTTCTGGTGAAGAACATGGCTGATTTCAGACCTAACTGAAAGGTTTCCTAATATTGACCAAAACAATTTGTCTGTGTTTCTGCCAGGATAGGGATATTTTCAACAACAGGTTTGTAGCTATTTCTAGACTCTGTGCCGTGTCTCCTTTCCTGTAGTGTCCATGGTAGCCCAGGCATCTGAGTTCTGGTGTGGTATCCGTCACAAGCAAAAAAGTCTCACCTTGGAGAATTGTACTTAATTTCTTGCTAATTAATACAAAATGTTAAGTACTGATCTGGCTTTGAGAAAAGAAGAAAATGTAAAATAATAAACAAACACTGAGGGAAACACCTTTTCTCCTCAGACTCCATTTTGGCCACATACACCTCTGCTCTGCCTTCCTCATCACAGCTCCTCTTGTTCTTGCTGCACTTTTCACTCAGTCTCTACCAATCCCTTTGGTGAGGTGACAAGAAGCACAGGACGGCAGAGTCAGCGTGTAATGGTTTCTTTCTGTTGCTCCTTGCTTCTTTCTTGTTTTCCAATGCTCTGGCATGGGTTGCCTAATGGCCGTAGTCCCTTTGAAGGTGTCCCTGCCCCAGCATGGGTGGCCCGCAGCCACTCATGGCTGTACCTCCTTAGGTATGGATCCAGAGTGCATCTGTGGCCATGTCCCCAGCAATGTCTCCTTCCGTGTGGCACCTGCCACCCCACGCGCTGGGCCCGGCCCAGCATCTCCGTGGTCTCTTTGTTACCTCAGCAGTGCGTGTGAATGGCTCCATGCATGAGCCGGAGCCTGGCGTCAGACTGCAGGCAGAGTCCTCTGCATGGATACAAAACTGTGCGGGTACATATCAAACATTTAGAGATACTACAGGAGAGCGTGCAGTAATAGTCAGCCAGGGTTTCCTATGTTAGGTCTGGAAAGATGAAGGTGGTAGGGAAGCGAAAGGGACTACTATTGCTTTGGCCCAGTATGACAGATCTGCACTTGGGATTTGTGGAGGGTCTTTCAGAACGAGCCTGTATCGCCAAAGTGGGGAAGGTCTTGCCTGTGTTACAGTAAGAGAGAGTTGTGGCAATAAGAAAGAAGGGGAGGTCTGTGAAGCAGTTAAGACCTGAAGAGTACTGAATTACACATGTAAAAGCACTCCAAAGAGGATTTTGTTCCTTGGTGCAAGAGTCTAACAAACTAGTGTGCAAAGCATGAAAGGAATTGGCTTTCTGTCAATTGTATCCTGCCAAAATGAAAATGTCTAGTTTGGGGAGGAACCTCTTTATGCTTTGGATTCTGACTGAGAACAAGATGAATCCTAGCTACAGTACCATGGCTCAGAAATGTCATGTATACACATTGCTTTTACAGGATTTGCTTCTTTTGGGGAGAGAGGAAAACAAATGATTAAAAAAAGAAAAGGAATCTGAGGGGAAAAAGAAAAGCTCTCCCTGTGCAAAAAATCTAACAACAGGTTTGACATTATATTTAGAAGAAAAAATAAATAAAATAAAGTAAAGAGATAATGAACAAAGATAATGAACAAGTATTACTCAGAACTAAAGGATCCACAGTAAAATTTGTACAATCTTTGGTTTATCTAGAGTTAGGGAATATGATAATAACTTGGCAAGATTCTATATTGGTGATGGTAATATTCTGCTTGGAAAATGTAGCATTTACTTGTAATTACATTATGGGTTATTTCCATTCTGAGTCTGGATATTTATATAATGAGAAAATGTGATGCTTTAATTTGTCTTTATAGCATTAATATGATTAAATTTACTTACACACAAATAAATTAATTGCTTTCCATAAATATGTTTAAAACATTACAAAATTACTGTGTGTAATTAGTAATTCAAGAATGATTAACAGTGTTTTAAAGTATTTAAATTAGCTATTTCTTTCTTGTGAGCAATTAAACACCACTGTGACATTAGGAATGATTAAGCTTCAGCTTAATGTGTATGAGCAGCTGCACACTGACTGTAGCATGATGCTGAAAGATGTGGGTTGTGGTCGGCAGCACAAAGTCCAGCTGGAGGCCAAACTCCAGAGTACCCCAGGAGTCAATATGTGGGCCACTGCTGTTTAGTATCTTCATTAGTAACCTGGATGATGAGACAGAGGACACCCTCTGCAAGATCGCAGACAATACAAAGCTGGGAGGAATGATTCATACCCCAGATGGCTGTGCTGCCATTGAAAGGGATGACGGCAGGCTGGAGAAATGAACTGACAGGAGTCACATGAAGTTCAGCAAAGACAACTGCAAAGTCCTGCACCTGTGGAGGAACAACCCCACGCACCGGTACAGGCTGAGGGCTGGCCACCTGGAA